CCTCCTGAAAGGCTATGGTCAGGAACAGAGACAGAAGGAGGAAATAGCAAACACAACCAGTATTATAAAGGTATGCACAGCATATAAACCAAGCAGTTGCACCAGCCTAATTCAGAAGTAAGATGAAACCTTGTCTTCAGTGTGAAAGCTTCCCTTTGGCTTAAGTGGACTTTACGAAAGGTGTACTTTGGCGGTAGCTGAGAGGGGAGTATTTCCTAAGTCATATCCTGTCAGCAAAATTCAGCCCGATTGTTTAAAGTAACTAGAAGGGGAGAAAGGATTTTGAGAGCTCCAATTTCAATGTAAGCCAAGAGAGTTTGGAAGTTTCATAAACTTCCAATTCTATCATGAAGTTTGCCTGGCACGTACAATCCATCTATCCAGGTGAATATTGTTTTGAGGCAAGGCAATGACCCATCGCTGCAACATCATAAGCTTTCCATTATGCAGACAATGGGAAGCAGAAATATTTCACTGAAATAGTAAACAGGATAACATGGTACTGGAAAACGCAGTGTGAAGCCTATGTTGTGTCCAAAAGGAAGCTGCTTGAGTCTCATACTTATCAGCCTTGCTCAGCATTGACTGCTCTGGGTTGAGTCACAGAGTTACCCCGTATCTCTACCCCAAGCTTCCCAGTGGTGCAGACTTAAGATAAATGCAGGACAAGAATCTGGGTACCATCCTTAGGCTGGCACTACGTCTGTTTGAGCTGATAGTCCTGATAACCAGGACACCATCAAGCAACAGCAAGGAAAGCAACTGCACTAGTAATTAGCACAAGTCTGACATTAGTACAACCTGTCAGCCCAACCGATGCAAACACTGGTCCTGTGTGCAACCATGGAGAATACTTTGTACCAGGTACGTCCACTGCCCTGATTCCTGGAGTACAGTGCAGACAGCTGAACTGCCTCTGCACACAGAAAGCTTCGTTCACATGGTGATGAACTTCATTCAGTTGGACCCACACTTGCTCATCATTCATGACAGGCTAATGCGTGACCTAGCTATTCTTATTACTGATAAGAGTTCACTGCTCTGGAAAGGAAGGAGACAGAACTTCTTTTCAGATAATTCTGTAAAAGTGCAAAATACCGAAAATACGTATCAACTGGATTGTTAATATCCAAGCTTTAGGTCTCATAAAATCTGATCACATGGAGGTTCCTTCCGTAACGCTACCCCTTTAATAAAATCTTACTGCCTCCTCATGATTAAAAAACCAAACTGTAAACAAAATTCTATGGCAAAACTACATTAGGAGACTCTGCTTCTCTTAACTGTTTTGCTCTTAGTTTTTTGTGTTTTCACTCCTTTCATGTGGCATTACCTAAACTGAGCGTGCTACCCATACAGATCTGAACAGTATCGCATAAGTCCCATTAAATGCAATGAAAGTTGGATAAAGGTACTGTAAAATTTTATATACCCATAATTTCACTGCCTGTATTCAGCCAAATACCATTTTTCCTTTAAAGGGAAACCTGCTTTAATTATTCATGAGATCTATAACCTGAAGAAATTTTTTATTACGACAGTATCCTTCAAAAGCAACGAGTAGTTTAAAAACTTAAATAGAAAAATATGAATGGTTTGGCTACCAGCTACCTTATAAAAAACAAAATAAAAGTCTAACTTCCTCAAAGTGTAAAACCATAAAGCAAGCTGCCTCTCCTGCAGAATTTTCTACACTAAAGGGATTTTAGAAGCTTTTCACAAGTCCACACGGTATTTAGATTTCGTAATGGACAGAAATGGAACTGGAAATATGCACAACACAAACACCACTTTTTTTTCCTTCCTTCTCTCTTATCAAGCCTCTTCATATGCTTTAAAAAAAATTCACACTCTTTTGGTGCTCTCTATGTATTTTGTAAGACAACTTCAGTCAGAGTGAGCAGTCTGCGCTCAGAAAACAGTCGCAGTTAGAATTCAGTTATTTCTGTCGTGATCTTGGAAAAGTTTTCTGTAAAAATGAGTACAAGTTACTCAGAAAATAACTAGGATTAGGAATATTGTAACATGCCAAATTCTGGATGTCTGTATCACATTAGTTGTAGGCGTTGCTGTATTTGATCAAAAATCAGATTCCCCTCTGCCAAAATGAGGGGTTGTCTTTGCTGAAGATTGTTTAGTCTCTTACGCTACGACATTAATCATTAGTTTTAGTTAAAAGAAAACAAGTTACAGAAAATATTTTCAGTATTTTCATACACAGATCTCTTCTTTGAACAGCCTTCGTTTATTATCACTGGTATAAAACACCTATGGGAACAGCAACTACGTGACAGACAGCCACAGCCACAGAAATCTTACGTCTCCCTTTTTCTATTTCTAGCACTGTTAAGGCAAGGAATTTAATCTGTCTATGTCTCAGTTTACCTCTCCATAAAACAGACCCGGTACTGTTCCCTAGTACTCCCAAGGCTACGGGAAGCTCCCTGTACTCCTGATCCAGAAGCCATTTCCCCCTTGCTAGCAGAGCTGCGCCATGGGCCAGACCCTTGGCTTGATGATATCAGTGGGACCTTTTCCCCCATTTTCAGCAACTGCAGGATCAACTTTCATGCACAGTGCAACAGAAACAGCAGCAAGTTCAAACCAATGCTTACCACCACAACTGTGCTAACGCATACAATATAGCTAAAATGTATCTCAGAAGATAAACTCTTCTTTTCTTCTTCTTTTCCTTTTCTATTCTTTAAATGAATGCCATAGGCTCTTTTTCAGTAACTCTGTTCTCCCTCTGGAGGGAAGAGATTTATCTGCTTTGAAAAAACCCTACTAAGATCAAACCTGATGCCACGAAGGGCAAGATTTCTACAAAAGTATTTCAACTACTCTAGTGGTGCATATCAATAAAGGAGTAATGAAAAATAAGGCATAAATAAGGAAAATTGGAAAAACCCACCATCCAACACTAAATACATTATTAGCTCACATTTCTGGCATCTGAGATGGCTGAAGTCCCAGTGGATAGGTAAACTTAAAGAAACACCAAAATTGCAAAAAGAAATTTAAAGATATACTAATATCTGTTAAGACAGAGAAAACTTCAGCAACAAGTGCCAAGAAGTTGGCAGATGAATTAAAAGGTGCAGGAAAAGCTGCATACAAATACTAAAGAATATGTCCTATCACATAGACCTTAAGCAGAAAAAAAAGGAGGTAAACCAAATTCTCACAGTAATATCTGCTTAAGTTTTCATTGCACAAATATACACAAAATATACAAGCAAGTGACAGATCTTAAATATATTAGGCAAGAAGAACTATCTGAAGCAAGTACCTGTCAAACTGCCAAGCTTATACTGTTTTTCACATACATTGTGTCCTCAACAATTGTGTCGAATTCACCGTCAAGAATGGCAGACCCTTGTGTAGCCAATCTTGTAACACAGATCTGAAAAGGTAAGACTTTGTGCTATTCCACTGTATGCCACAGCCGAAACGGACGTTTCCCCCTAAAAGTTTCTGAGATTATGGTACCGAATGCATACATATCCTAAGAAACAGGATCTGCACAGGCAATTCTGAAGGACACACAGCTTTGTAAAAGAAATTCATTTAATGATAATAGCAGCAGCTATAAAAGCAGGCCTCAGTAAACGAGTGGACAACATGATAAACATGCTGAAGTCTGAAAATCTACCAGTTGGGTTCTGGCCAACTGTATCTAGATGGTATTTCACCAGCTTTGTAGAAGTATCTGCACAGTAGCACTGTATCAGCTCAATTCAGTGGCAATGCTCCTACCAGCTTCAGGGGAGCCCATTTTCATTCCAGGGTTCATAATTATTTACTGCACTCCAATGCAGCTAAAAGATGAAGGCTTCTCTGCAATATGACTACAAGCACATGAAAAACATTAAAGAGCTTTTAGGAAAAAAGTATTTCTGTTAGATAGGCTAATGTAACTGTATAACGGGGGTTACAGACTTTGGTCTCTATTAGGTGGATTTATGTGTGTCATCAATTGAAGACTATGCCAATGTGCTCGTGCATGCATAGTTCGTGATTATATTCCTTGTGTTGCATAGCATTCAATGCTCTCATCATTGAAGATAATTTTCTATGCTGCTCATATCTGTGTAATTTCATAATTTTTCTGAGCATAACAGCACACCTTTATGAAAAATGAGGAAGTTTGTATAAGCTGCTACCATGCAAAACTCCGATAGCACGAAAATTCCACAAGAAAAATCACCTGATGGACATTTGCAAACTACTCATGCTATATTTAATTTGAAATACCTTTCCATTCTCGAGAATATACTTGTCCATTACTGGAACAGGGGCAGGATAGTACGTTGATGTATTTGCTTCCTCACTGAAGGTCTTCTGTACCTCAGGTTCAGGTTCAATTGATTCTGGTTTTACTTTTTCAAGCTCAATGGCAGGTCCTAGACAGTTAAGAAAAGAGAGCTGTCTGCCATCCCAGAGAACATGAAAACAATCACTTCATCACCCAAGGTTAGCACAAAAACAACACATTAGTCATGTTCATTTTAAAGTTAAGAGTCTAAATCAAAATCCTACTTCTGAATGTCAATAAAGCAGGATAAGTAACTCTGCTTTATAAACATTGTCTAATTTTAATTTAAATGTTTAATTTCATTCTTAAGGCATATGGACAATTACAGACATGGGTAGGACTGCTTCAATGCACACTATGGAAATTATGTTAAAATGACACTGAATTTATAGACCAAAAGTAACAATAGTAATTCTTCACACAAGAGTTACTGTATAGTTGCATAGAAACCTGCATAATTTACTGTGATAATTACACAAATTGCCCATATAGAATTATAAATTTCATAGAAATTTGAAATCTCTCTAGATGTAACAGAGTATTAAAAATAGTGAGGATCTACAGAAATGCTACAAGGGAAACAGGCTTTAGCATAAAAATCATGCACAGAAAGAGCATACACAAGTTAAGAAAAACCCACAAATTAGAATTTATTTTTCATGTAACCAAAAAATTAAGCACAGATTAAACAACAGAATACTACTAAGAGTATGTTTAAGGCTTCAGAGGAGGATAATTATTTTGTCAGTCATCAACTTTTCTTTTCCAGATCAAATTTACAAAGTGTCCCTAACAAGGCAGAAGGACAAAATGAAGTAATTTGTGAACTGGGTTTCATTATTCCATTCATTGCAGCGGTTACACCAGCAGTCTAGGAATAGGCTACGGCCCCAAGGCTGTCACTGCCTCTTGACGTCTGTCTCTGGGCTCACGAGAAGCTCCAGCAGCCACTGAAGTTCTTTCCACGCAGGGATGGTGGTTGATTAACGCTGCAAAGGTGCCAGCTGAGACCCTGAACACCACGGTCATCAGCACCTTCCATGAACTATAAGGATAAACTCACCCACTTGTGAGAACTACACCACACCAGGCCGGAGCTGAGCACTGCAGCCCAACCTTGACATCTTCAACAAATGACAGTTCAATAACCAGGTCGCCGTCAGGGTTCACCAACCCTCCCCAGTGTTTGTACACGCAGACCAAGCCTAATATTGATCTAACTGAGCAAGCCAAGCTGGCACCAGTGCTCATGTCTTGAGTCAGGTATCTTAAATAGTTCCTGTACCTGGAACAAGTAAAGTATTCATCATTCCTCCTCCTTTGTGAAGTTTGATTTATAGATTATTATACAGTGATATCGGCATTCCCTTCATTGTCAGCATTTGACATTCGTCCTATAGCTTACTCTACACCTACGTAGCTGCAGTTCTCAGGTGGCTGCCCCTTGACACTCAGCAGCATCTAAAAGTTGTCTTGGCAACTCAGATAACCCTACACTGCGGGGCTGACAGAGTGTCTTAAGAGCCATATACAATGCAAGCTAAGCACAAGTAGAGAAATCAGAAACAAAACATACTATTTGCATTATAATTTCATAACAATCTTCGTAAGTACCTCTGCTATTATGCACGTAGGAAAGGTACGGCCGAGAAAAACTAAACTGCGAAACTTGAGACTGCTAAACTGATTCAGACTGGGGGAAAAACCTGCACTGATGAAATCCACCCAAAGCCTGCACGTATCTCAGTGTGGGCACACCTGACAGTAGATGCAGTAACACAATTACCAGTGTGAACTCAAGAAGCGAGTGATCTTTTAGCTGTTACTCTAAGAGCACATTCTTCAGCAAAGTTGAGTTTTCTTATACATTGAAAGTCACATTGAGGAAGGCACCTAAGTACAACCACCTTCTTCTTAGAAGGAAACACTGATCTCCATTTAAAGGACTTTCTAGTAAAAGTCTTTCAGTCTTTTAGACTAAAGAAGTCTTCTGCTGTTTTGTTTATAGTAATATATCGACACAGCTGGGATGTGGTTTGCAGAGCTCCTCAAAACAGCCCACTGAAGTCCACAATAACCATAGCTCTGCAGTACAGGTTTTTTTGGCCTGCTAATTCATGCTTTACTGCTTGCTTACAAGTCACCAACAGAAAGCCTTTAAAGCATCTTTTTTATTCTACTCATTCTTCCTTCCCAAACAGAAATCTGCCTCTGCCTTGGTAGTCTTCACAGTTACTTTCACCAACTATTAAAGACTGCATTTTCGAGCTGGCATGCGATGAATGAGACATTGAACCCACATTGTTGCCTTACTGCTAACGGGCGTCACGTCTCTGTAACAACAGAAGTTGTGTAGCACGCACCGTATTCCAAAAGTTTTTTCTCTCTGTAGCTCTCAAGTTCTGCATCTTGTTTTAAAGATGATGATTCGGACGTACAAAAATATATGCCACTAAGGCTTTACAATGATAGTATTTATGCAATAAGGTTCATAAAAAACATAGAGAGAATTCTTCAGAACACAAAAAAGGAAACAAATGTTTTATTGACAAATATTTCTCCTTCTGACTGTAAAGTTTCCATAATACCTGAGAGGCCAGGAACTTCAAATACAGGATGAAGAGGCAGAAGGCTTCCCTTCATCACCTCTTTTCCTCAAAAACCATCTTTGGCTACATGCTACTAAAAAAATCAGTAAATAAGCCAAAATAAATTAAGTGATGAAGTGGTCGATATACATTTGTAAGCAGCAAGCTGTTTTCCCACATGGTCTACCAGAATTTGAATGAAAACAGCAGGAGTCTGAGAAATGGTAATATGACATATACAGTACTTCTTGTACTCGCACTTGACAGAAACCTTGAACTTCTTCCACATCAAAAAGCCAAACAAATCCAGAAAAGCTGAATAACAGTAATTCCTTACTTGTGGTAAGACACCTTTCTGTTCTTCCTACCCTGGTGTCAGCGCCAAGACACTGTGAACTGCATCACTGAACCTAAACCTGGATTAAAAATAACCTCAAGGGGTTGTGCGTGTGTCGAATGAATGTGAATGCCTGAAGGTGCAGATACTCCGACTTTAGAGCAACACTAATTCTTAGCAATACAACATGAAAATGTAGTATTTATCAGGGTCCAAACATGGATATCCCTGACACAACTGCACTACTTCTGGCCATATATAACCCCAGTGAACTGCACAGATCTTACCCTGGAGACAACTACGTTTTCAGAAGTTACTGAAATTCTTCTCTTTTGCAATCCAAGGACTGTTTAAAGTTAGGCCTACAGGGAAGAGTCAATAATTTAATTCTATATGTATCACCTTACTCTCTATTCATAAAACCAGGGCAAATTAGTGTGTTTTCAGGTGCAACAGAACAAAGATGAACTCCAAAGGCCTACGATCGTAAGAGCTTCCTGATCCCGAAGTAGGAAAGGGAGAAGAGGCTTTGGCTGCACGCACTCTTCAGGGAGCTCACATGAGGGACTGTAACGTCTCCCACAACAGGCGTTGTGTTCTCCCACTGCTTTGGTCCCTGGAGATCTGGTCAAATGCCTGCCCCCTCCACGAGGGGATCTGCTGGGCAACAGCACACAAAATCATAAAGCAGCTTAAATACACCCCACGGCTCAGTACTGATTTCACTACTGTCACTTGCCACATCTGCTTTCAAGGCTTAAAACAAAGAGCAACCCAGTGTCGCCATGTGAAAGACTGAGAACCTCGCTCTTCCCACAAGAGCGGCTCAAGTTTGGCAGCAGAGATGAAGGCCTAGGTCTACAGCAGAATACGTTGACAGCCAGCTTCTCACTGAAATCTGCATATTGATGGGAAATTAGGAGACCGAACACTTGACTGAATGTTAGCTCAAGAGGCTGTTCTATATTTGATCTGCAAGTTTAAAATGGCAACAGGCACGTGCTTCCCACAGCTGCAATTCATTAGCACAAAGCAGCTGTCATCTCATGCAAAGAAATCAGAAGTCTCTAAGGTGAAACAGAAATGCAATTAGTTTGTATTAAGTCCAGCCTGCTAACAGAAATTACACGTAATTTGAAACTCTGGGTTTAAGAGATCGCTGCAGAACTGAAGATGAGTTCAGGACGTAATCTATTTTCTGAACAATTTTCACACATTATTCACATACCCAAACATACCTCATTTGTAAGCTGGAAAAGTAAGGGAGGCTAAAGAAGTCTTTACGTATCTAATTCTTGATTAAAAGTAGCACTTTTTCATACTGTCATCAGACTCTCTAATTTATAATTTGCTGAAGATATCTCCCTTTCTAATCATTCATAAATTCTGTACTGATCTTTCTACAATCTGGTTGTTTCTCTACTGTGAATGAGGCTGCAAGGAAAGTGGTTAACACACTGAGCCTTAGGAAACACTGCGGAGGACGCAGCCCGTAGGGCCAAATTCTTCCTTTGTCTTCCAGGAAAAGTTCCATACAAGTAACAACAACAAGGGATTTTTTAAGTTACGTATAATTCATGTTTGTCCAGGTGTGTGATCAAATTAAAAGAACCTGTCTTCAGTGTAATCGAGAGAGATTCTCAGTTGTAAAACAGGTGCCAGAGCGGTACAACGGAACTTCAAGCCCAGTATTTAGAGAAGATTCAGCATTTTTTCCCCAAGAGGTTTTGGTGGTTTGCTTGGGGTTACTTCCCCGTTTGGTTTCTTTGTTTTGGTTTTTGGTGGGGTTTTTTTGTGTTGTTTGTTTTTTTTTAAAATTATTTTTTCCTCCTTTTTTTTCCCTAAACTTTCCAGATTCTGCTCAAGTAAAAACCGCAGCCCTTCTTCCTTAAAGTGAAAGAAACGACACAGAATTCAGAAGCTGTCTTCATTTCATTGCTGGTCTCACCAAACTGCTGTCAAGTCTACCAACTAAATTGGTGTTTTACGCTGTTCAGCCCCATTGCCTGCTAACATCTGGCTGGTGCTCTGTTCACATAAATTCCAGCTAACCGCTTTCAGATGAAGAAACATCTTTCCATCCAAGGAAAATTTCAGAAAGCTCAGTGGAATCTACTGCCAACCACATCGTGTTTTTCAGACTGTGGAAAACTTGCCTATTTAGTTTTATTTAAAAAGTTAACTAGAATGTTCGTAATAAGTAATGACATTTTAATTATGCACAGTGTAACAACGACGAGCATTCACAATCAAACACCCAGTTTTAATTGTCAGATGCTACTTGGAGAACCTGGCTCCGAACTCGTGGGCACATCTTCACACATGCTCCAGCACAGGCACATGCTCTCTGGGGTTCAGCTCTGAACATGAACGCAACTCGGGCCCACATGCAAATCGCATGCACTCGTTCAAGTCAAGTAGAAGAGCCAATATCCAATTTACATGCAAAAATTAAGTTTCCAGATACACAAAGGCAGACATAAGAAACAGCATGCTAAGATCGGATGCACAAATTTTAACCGAGTTTCAGTCACCAAACAGATCTTCGACACAGCAGTACCACATTGTAACAGCAAATAAATATAAATTAGTCAAATATTTGAAGGTGTTTCAAGGGTACCATCTTCAATGAAATGGATGAACTTTTTATTTTGTCTTTCTTTCCCCATTTATTCCAACATAATGGTTAAAGAGTTGTTATCAACCAATGAGCAATTGACTCAATATATTTAAAATTTAAACCCAAATTACACAAACCTGCATTTTGTTACAAGTGCTGATAAACGGGACACTAATAGAAAAAGTTTGTAAATTATTCTTTAACAACCCATTGTTTTTCAAGTAGCATGGCTGTTTAAAGCCGCTGCTAAGAAGTTCAGGAATAGATCACGTTCTAATGAGTACTAATGGGAAGAGGGGCAGAAAATGGATGGTAACACACTGACATAACAATAAACAAATATCCTTAACTGAAAAGAATAAAATAGTTTTAGCTTAAATCTTCATTCCACTGCCTTTTCTTTCTTCTCTCTTTTTTTTCTTTATTTTTTTTTTCCTTTTTAAACTGGAACATATTGGTGTATTTGGCAGATGTTGCTTTATTATCTTTTTCAGCATATACTGGAAGGTCAGAGGCTCTTTAAAATACAGCTGCTTAAAATGGAACTCTGATTCAACCACACCAGCACAAAGACCTCTACTATCATTAAAGAAAAACCCAGACGTACATAGCATACAAATTCAACACATTGTACAGCCACAAAAAGCGGAAAACCCTTTTAACATTCAATGTCCAGTTTAACAACCACCGCTATTTCTTCAAATACGTTTCCGTTACTATTGATCACACTTGCAAAATTCATTAAAACTAGTCCCATTTAAGTCCGGCACTTACCACTACCTAGTCTTAGAAGCAGTACATCCTGGAGTCTCCTGTTCAAGTCTCTGAGCTCTTTCATTTCTGACACGAGTGCCCCATACTCCTTTAGCTTCTTTGCCTGTTGCACAAGCTGCCTCCGTGTTCTCTCGAGCTCCTGTTGAATGTGTCTCATTTCTTCTTGTTGCTGTTGGTAACTCCTCAGCAATTCTTCATACAGAATCCGAGGAACTACAGCATCGTCCATGTTGTTCATGTTTTCCGGAGTCTCCATAAAAGCCTCCTCAGGGCTGGAAGTATTACTGAGGCTCATCCCATTCTGTTTTTCAAGCCGAGCAACAACTGCTTCAATGCTTTTGTGTGTACCTTCACTTTGTTTCCTCCCATCTTGTCTCTGCATGTTACAATAAAAAAAATAAGTAAGTTAGGAGAGCAGTAAGATGTAATACAAATTAAAACTCTCCAGACTTGGGAACTATTAATATACTTGCTTTCCAAAAAAAGCAAGACACAGTCTGCCTGCAAAAATGTTTTGCCTAATAGATTCTTGTGGATATACATCATAACTACCATGCACGTGTAATTCAGCTAAACGCACAGACAAAGTTCTGAGGCAGCTAAAGGCCTGCCTTCCTTTCCGCATTTATGCAATACTTGCAAGCTGAGTGTATATAGGTCACTTGATTCCATATACAAGAATTATTTTCTTTTAAAAAATACTGGATCTGGATCTCTTTTCCTTTAAAGTTTACCCCTAGCGTTTTCATTTCCAACAGCAACTGATTTGCTGATAAGCAAGAGGAAGAATCAACTATGTGCTGTGTTTGTCACCTGTAACGATACCAGAGATGAAAGCGGCACACCATACAAAGTGGCTTTGTGAACAGAGGGCTTGTCCTTCCCACACTCTGGGAGACAAATCCTCTAGCACGCTCACTCAACTGCCTGATGCAAGTGACTGAGTTAACGCTATCGGCAAACACTGAAAGGAACTGAAAACAGAAGTTGGAGACAGAACAAATCATTCAGTCTCATCTTCCTGAACAACGGATTCCTTCTGTATTAGTACTGCATTGCAGAGGGTTCATCTCCTTTGAACTCTCAGCAGAAATTTACCTTCAGTCATCCGCACAAATGCTACAAATTAAAGCACGCCCCTTTTCTGAGGCCTGGGTAGTGATATTAAAATGTGACAGTACGGGTAAAAGTCACTAAGTTTTATTAGCCAAATGTGGAAAAAGCATTTGAGCTTCCAAGCAACTGCAAGGAAAGCAAATGTAGCTCATAGGTTAGAGACAAGAAGCTGACGCTATTAATTCCTATGCCACAATATCCATGAATAATGTGGCAGAAAATGAGATTATTTGATGTTACGCCTGCTCCACGCAAATTCTGCAAAAAAAACCAACAACAAAATAAAAAAAACGCTGGCCCACCATACAAATATGTACTAGTATCACTCCTGCAGCTGCAAAACACATGAAGCCACAGAGCAGTATCTTTTTCTGGAGGTTGGCAGACTTCTAAAGAAATCATTTGATATCAAAAAACAAATACATTTACATAGTGGGTTTCTGGCATCTGGACCTAAAAAGGCAACTTGCAGTTACAATGTGTATGTATAACTGCAGGGATGCGGTCCTGTCAACTGTCACCCACTGCTGGAGCTGGGAAGTTCTGGTGCACCCCTTCCAATTCCAAACACACAACAGGTCGCAAACGCCACCGAGAGCAGCTGCGTGCCGTTCATGTAAGCAGTGACTTTTCAGGTATTCTGGGCCAAAGTGATGAGTATTGTTCCAAAAATCTAAACGGCAATTAAACTGCACAGACGGTATAAACAGGAGAACGTTCAATTGCACATAAATCAGGCCTTGAAAATCCGTACCCCACCCCCACAAACACAATTTGACCCAATTTCACCCAACCGAGTGTTTTAACGGGATCAAAAGCAGGCCTGGAATTCTTAAGCTATGATGTCTGTATATGCCCCAAGCACTTCCCCCCGCCCAAAAAAAAAAGAGAAAAAAGAAAAAAAGGAAAGGAAAACAAAAAGAAAGACTTCAGTACCTTACTGTGTCTAAGCTCCACATCTTCTTCCCCATAATCTGTAACCTCCCCAGCTTCTTCTACGTGATTGAGAGAGAGTTTGGGGATTTTAATTTTCTTCTGCATCACACTGTTCTCAAGGTCAGTTTTGTCCTCTAAAATGTATATTAAAAATAAAATGTTGTTATATTAATCAGTGTTTTCACTTCCAAATACTACATGACTTATACAAGACAGGTTAAAAAAAAAAAATAGCCTCCCATGCTTCAATCCCCTCAAAATACCACGATCAAATTAATCCATAGTGCAACTCAACTGATGCCCACTGACAGTTCTAGAGTTTCAACAGTGGATCAATCTGGCCAAACAAACACAAGAATATTGTAAAATGCCAAGCGAAATTCACGTGAGTGATCAAAAGTGTCAATGAGTAGATTTTACTATCACTAAAACAAGAGTTAAAGGTGCTGTAAATAAAACAACTTCCCCAACCCATCCGTATTGCTTTAAATTATGTCTATCAATGGTGTTTTCATATTCATAATCTGTTGCTGCAGTTCAAACTCTGCTTAGGTGTGAAGTGAGAATACACCTGGTCATTCCTCCCATACGCTAACCATTGTCTGTCAGCCGTACAGCTCCACCTGCACGCACGGCAGACCCTGCTGTGCTGCGAAGTGCAGGGTTGGAAAAGGGGATGCTGCAGGATAGGGCATTACAGAAAAACTGTGTATGGATGAAATATGTAACAAAACTACTGCACAACACCTGCTTCATTAGGTAACGGTACTAATCCTTTTTCTTTAGATACACAACGCCAATAAATGGTTACAGTAATCTTTGAATCTCATTAACAATGGAAGTAAAATATTTTCAATTCTGAAACGTTCTAACATATCTCAAAATTATGTATTTAAAAACATTATTCTAAAAATAAGTTTGAAATATTTTAGTATTCCTGAAGAGGTGCAGAGGGACAGGGATTCAAGAGTATAGTCTCCCCAAATGTGCCTGTGATCCATAAAATTCCTGCAGAGCAGACAAGGCCTTAAAAGATTCACAAACGTGGATACCTGTTCAAGACATTGACAAGGACAAATGCATTTAAACGCTGAAGTGCTGTATTTGTACATTGAATGCTTATAAATAAGAAAACATTTTGAGTCTTCTCATCCACCTGCAAACAGTATTTCACAAAGTGTCCCATGAATATTTCTGAAAGTGCCAATGAGGATGGCATTTGTGAGCGCTTATTTGCATTGACTTTTGCTTTCTCAAATTAGCATCTCTCCACAGGACCTCAAAATGGTTAGTGTTGACAGTGTACAAAAGGGAAACAAAGGTAAATCACTGTTTAATGAGGAGCAAAGCATTCATTAGAAATGAATTACACAGATGAATGCAATTCATTTTGTTAGATAGAAATGGATCTCTTGTAGGCAAATGGTGATATTACAGCCCAAGGCTATGTGAAGAGAACAGGCACAGAACATGCAGAATAAGACATTAGACAACCTGAAATGAAATGCAGATGGCAGCAATAAATACTAAGACAGATGCAAAAAGAAACAGATAAACAACAAAAAACTGCTAGGCTTATTTTAGATCATTCTCCATTCCCCAGAGCATCACGGATGCTTAGACCAGTAAGACAAAAAGGCAATCCAACTGTTTCCGTTTTGAAAAATAAACCCCTACGTTTTCATTTATCTGGAAAACGAAGGTTCATCAGAAAAGTGAGATAACCCAGTTCTACTGTCAGAGAGCAGAGAAGAACAGAGGCCTTAGGAAAAAAAAGCACAAATTTACAGACTAAAGGACAGACTGACGGGTATCGGTATCTTCTTGGAAGGACAGAAATCTAAGAAGAAATCAATCCATACCGAATGAGAAAAAACCCCAACCAAACAACTTCTTCTGTGACTACACATTTTGAGGTGTCTGATAGATCAAGGAATCCTTTGCTAAAACATGTTCTCACAGCTCCTTAGAGCAAGAGCAGCACATGCACAGTGCAGAGCCAGCCTCTCTAGACCGCTTTGCCAAGCCTTCTTCCACAGAACGTGCAGATGAACTCCTTCCACATTCAAAGAATGCAGATCAGTCTCTATGCTCCGAAATAACCCTTGGCCTCATAACAAGATGGACACAATCCAATTACTTCACACAGTTCAAAAAAAAATTGTCTGCTGGCAACTAGCTGAGGTCCCCAGTAGCCAGAGCCCCACGCAAACTGGAAACGGACACTGGCCGTCCTTCCCAGGGCCAGGGAAAGGCACATCTTGAAACACTCACGGAAAGGGGTCACCGAGGAGCGAGTGCCTGTGCAGACTACAGTGGAAGTCGAAAAATACTTTCTGACAAATAAAACAACGTTAAAATAAAAACAATTTGGGAGAACAGAAATATTTATCTTTTAATTTTGGCTTTTTCTTTTTAAGTCAATTTATAAAGGTTAAGAACACATTTTATGCACTGAACAACAGAAATGAAAGAAAACACTCAGTCTGAGGTCAAAGAAAACAATACAAATCATCTGAAATCTTCATTCTCCCCACTCCTCTCCCAGTTTGTCAGCCTGCTCATGAAATTTATGCTTGCAAAACTTCACTGGTGGACTAAAGGTAAAGATTTGTTTATACACCTCCTTACAAACGCTGAGTTTGTACGTAATCAGTACAAACCGATCAACATGGTTCACCTTCATGTTCAGCAAATCTCATTTGACTTTTTGATTTTCCTGCTTATCCTGTAAATGAACCAGTAAGTTGAAGAAAGGAACTCTTTTCTCCCCACACAAAATTTGAAGAAACAATAGTGAAAATGAGTTTTCATAAGTTAAAGCTCAGAAAGTTTTAATTTGTCAATGAGCAAATAACTTTATGTTCCTCTGTCAGTAATACATACAATATTTTCTTACATATGCTCTGGTCTTTGTAGGCCTATTTACACCTAACACAGTTAATCCAGTGTGTTAGAAATGAAAAGGCCTTTTGGTTTTGGTTTTGGTTTTTTGTGGGGTTTTTTGGGTTTTAAGTGCATTTCTAACCTCTGTTGTCTTCTGCATTAGCTGCAGATAGAGCCAGAACAATCTCATTCTGAATTTGAGGCTAATGCTGGAGTACTGGCTCTTGTTCTGTAAATATTAATGGAATTTGGGAAGGGGGAGGGGAAACGGTGATAGAAGAGACCAGGGGAGGAGCAGGAGAAACATGAACATGCATTTAGCACAGTTCTTCTTAGGACTCTCCGTCTGTTGTTGTGCCAGACTACAAAAGACAGGTACAAAGGAAGAATCCAGCAGAAAGCAAAACACAGTTTTGAGCCAGAAGCAAACCAGGATATAAGCCAAACGGCTGGACAAGCTTCAAATCAGTGCCTGAAGCTACAGAACGCGCTAAGAGAGAGAAAGGCAGCCCTAGAAACACTGCAGCTCAGTGCCTCATTTTGTAATGACCCAAATCACTTGTCTGGACTTTGTCCCAAGTCATTTAAACCTTGCTACAAGTTAAAAATTATACCTTCCCTTAGGTGGGCATGATCAGACTGTCATAAATCTGTGTCTATTGTTTTTCCTATACATGGAATAAGTGTTTCACTGACACCGGCTGTCGAGAACTAGCACTTAACACGCCTAATTAGGTAACAAAATACGCAGGGTAGAAGCACAATACAAGAATGGACAACACTGATGCCCTCTGTCCTTTAAGAAGGGACATTCTGGAATACACATACAAATTAGGAAAAACTGCTTTGTGCACAGCAGCCATAATGGCAGAGAACATGGTATTCTGCAATTCAATACACAGAATAGAGTATGCTTGAGTAACTGTACCCCAGGAAAAGGTCAGACCTGGAGACATCTTGCCAGTCAGGGGAAGTACGGGGTTCAAAAGCCAGTGTATGCAACAGTGCCTCTCCCCATATGGCCAGCTACCAAAGTTGTTCGAGTAGTAAGAAAAAAATGGAACTGTTGAGAAATGGAGTGGCTGGGAGGACATTTGGCCTCAGCAGCGCTAAAAGACAGAAAAGCCAAAAAAGCAAGCCTGCATTACAGAATCTGTATCATCTAGCAAAGGATAAACTGTTCCTGGAAAGTTTCCTTCAGTCAGGCCCTCGTTTCAGTGTCAGGATGGGTGGATCCAGGCCAAAAGATCCAGGCTGTAAGTCTGGGACAGCAGGGAACTGAGGCAGACAAAGTGACTTCTTGACAGGGCACAAAGTGAGTTGGCTAAACTCAAGCAAAAATATGTTAGTGCTCTAAAACTGAAAATCATATTGTGGGATGCAGAGTAAAACTATGGAAATCTCAAAGTGTCCTTGAAACATCCCTTACTTTCTAGTTTAGAAGTAAGAATTGAACAAATTAATCCCTTCAAAAAATAGTTCAAATGCTGTTTTATCCACCTTTGGAGTAAAGGCTGGAAAAACAGGGGAAGAGAGCTCTGCACTCCAAGTGGATGAGGGATGGCAGGTCTGGGATCAGCCCAAATAAGGGACTGTAAATCTTACAGTAATAAAACGAAAAAACCTTGAGCAAAATTCGTCCTTCCCCTAAGCCTTCAAAAAAATTCCACTCCTTGTGAAAAATGATATACTGACAGATGAAAAAATTTACCATCACCCTTCCCGTTTCCAGGCACATACCCAACACATATGGGCAGCACCTGTACAAAATTCTCCCCACACTGTTTCACCGCTTTGCTGCCGAGCTGGCCAGGTTGCTTGTACAGAGCAGACAACATCACCTGCCTCGGCAGGTTGTGCATCAGCTACAGCTCCTAAAGTAAAAGACACTTAAAAACCAAAGCAAAAAACCTACAACCAAAGATACATTTGGTGGTTCAAAACACACACACCAAGCACAACAGGGCATGGAATTATAAGTGCCACTTAAACATAAACACACAATAATCAATATTGCTGTGACTGAGAAGGAAAACAGAGTGACAATACAAAGAAAAAAAAGCCCAGCTAGTTTATGTGAAACTGGAAAAAAAGAATTATAAATTACTTTCTAATTAAACGCAAATATTAAAGAAAGACTTTAATAAGAGGAACAGAAGAGACTTCAGAAAATGTGTAAGAATCCTGCAGGTTCGGAAGATATTCAGGATAGAGGCAGAAAAATCTGTCTCACATAAAACATCTCTCAGCTTGCAGTACACAGAGTAAGACCACTACCAAAGAAGAAACAACTCACAGTGACAGTAGCAGATAACATAGGACAGCAGTAAAAATGGAAAATTTACTTGAAGAGGACAGGCGCCACCAAACTTGAAGCAGCTGAAAGGAGGGGGGGTGTGCAAAAGAGGGGTCAACCAAGTGCTCTCACCATCAGTTCAGGATTTGGATTCTATAACTTACTATAGTGTTTTGCTGCTTTCCCCTCCCCCAATCACAGACTAGAGGAAAAGAGATTACAGAACTAAACATAGGGCACGGTGAAAACACTACCTTGAAGTACATCTGGTTGGACAGAAAGGTAAAGCTGGGTGCAAGTGACAAAGCCAATGAAATAAGAGACAGCAAGATGCTGGGTTGGGAATGACAGAAAAGATTGTTCCCTCTCCCCACTCTAAAATCAAGAGAAAATGACAAAAATATGTTAAGCCATCCTAAGCATAAGCTGAGAAAGATTTCTGCGTAAAGATGTCAGAAAGGGAAGCTTACAACAAATTTAAGTGAGAAAAGTTAGGAATAAAAAGGTCGAGCTGAGAGTTGTCACCATCCAGGCTGGTACCACTCCCAAAAATTTAAGAACTGAACAGTCCCGCACACTTCCACAAAAAGAGATAATTACAGTAACACACCGACCGGTGACTAGAAGAATGTCTTCAGAGCAGAAAGAGCGAGCAACGAAGTCGGGGAAGAACAACGCATCGAGTAACACTGTGACAGGCAGGGCCAACAAGCACGTGAAGGTGACGGCGCGCTCTGAGGAGCCGGCCAAAAAGGCTGTTCAATCTTGTGAAGTGAATTTCAATGAAGTGTAAAGAGTAGGAAACAGAGTGAAAATAATTCTTAATCCAATTGGGAAAAGGCAAGATAAAAAGGTCTTAAACTACTGCTTGGCAGGTTTAGAAATGATGCGTAAGAAGGATGATGCGCCAGAAGCCCGAATCAAGACTGCTCACTGATGATGGACAGAAAGCCACACCTGTTCTGTATAAAGGCACCAAAGAACTAGGAGAAAGATTAAGGAGCCAAACTCCTACAAAAGCAGAGGACAGATGATATAAACAACTTCTCTCTCCAAGTTCTGCCTGAGGTCCTACATCAAGACTAGCTCTTCCTCATCAACATTCAATACAATACGAGCTCACAGAGCATGGACCTGCTGCTGCTATCACAACAAATCTACCACACCAGCTACTGAAGCAACAAATGCTGAGGTCTGAATGCACACTTTTTCCTTCCGTGGAACAACAGGGATACTCAATTTAATACTGCCAGGAGTGAGAGTTATCGATGTACACCCTCATTTGTCGTCAAATTTCTAATGTACACGAAGACATTCAAGTGTTTTGTAACATTTTCCTTTTGCACATCCTCATTTATCAGCAGATTGTTCAGATTTACTAAGTATCAGACCATATGTCAGACCTATGCTGCAAGAAATACTTTTTTATATATATATATATATTCTATCTTAATTTCCATTATTAATATGAAAAATATTTCTTAAAACTTGATACAAAGTCTCTTAAAAAATAATTAACCTAAAGCAACTCTAGCCTAAAATTAAAACTCTGCTAGAAATAAGTATTCTTCTTTTTCAGCAAAACTCTCCCATGTAACTTTTAGTGGTATTAGAAGTGTTTGTCTACAGTAGAAGTGGATGGAGCTGGAAGATCAAGTAAAGACAAGACATTACACTGAGAAACAGCTCTTTACAAGACTGAAGACAGTTTTAATCCTGGATACAATATTTACTAAAATACTGACCTTGAAAAACTCAACCTTTCCATCTCACTGTCCCCATCTAACCCACTGCAGTGTTTTACAGATTTGCTAATATTTGTGTAATACTCTGAACATGTCGAACACAAAGGATTACAGCTACTATGGAACAACTCTCTTAATCCTTTCTGAAACCAATACAATAATACAACATTATCATTAAATTAAAAAGAAGAAACCCTGACAACAAGTGGCATGTTAAAGTGTTATCCTTTAAATCTTTCCTCTGTACCAACATATGAAACTCAACTATGGGAGTTCAAAAGTTCATTCAAAGAGATCATTGATCTCAGTGTGTCAGTCGGGCTCTCCTGACCACTCAGCCTGTATCGTACTGGAAGACTGTATCACAACCAAACTCTGACTGTCATTCCGTGATCACAAAGGCCACAAAGCCATGGTGACACTGCCTACCAGCTACTCAGCAGATAAGGCAGCAGCCTACAGGGAACACTCCAGGAAGCCTCCGCAACCACCTCTGCCTAAGGAATGAGCTTGCTATGCAAACAGCAGGTAGATTTATGCTTTTTTTTTAGCTTACATACAAAACATATGATGTGGTTCAGCCTCTACTATTTTTGAAGGCTTTCTTTAAAAAAAGCAAATAACTGACTGACTTGCACTTAGGAAATCCACTGGAAAAAAAAATGGTTTACAGATAAATTATGAAAACAAAAACATTAACTTACATTTTTTCCCCTTTTCACTCCCCTGCAGATTTTAGCATATTT